GAGCTGTTCTAGCTGTGAGATGTGAGAAGCGTGGTCTTGTTGGTGGCCATCAAAGAATCCCATTCACCTGAGTGACCGAGAGTTCTAGTGCCAGGGCCGGTGTCAGTTCTGGGTTGTGGGAGAGGTTCCAGGTTCCTCTTCAGTGGTTTTTCTATAACAAGAAAAGAAGGAAGGGGATTGAGGAAGTGTGCAGGTCGTTCATTTTGCCTCTAGTATTTCTCTTTATCCTAAGGAATAGCTCCCTTCCACCATGGACATCCACCTTCTTGTAGGAGAGGGCTTTTTTCTTCTTTGCAGGCCTTCATGATGGTATAGATTTTATCTATGTGTGTGTGCATGGATGTAAAAACCAGTGTTCCTTCTGGGGATGATTTGATTGATGTATACACTGAAAACATCTTTAATAATTTAATGCCTACTTCAAAGGAGATTATACCAAAAAGCACATTGCTTTTCATTTATTCATTACAGATCTGTCATAGCAGCATTTTTGCCCTGAATTGTAGTGTCATTGTAATAATAAATTTTGTTTTACACTCAGTATATTTTAAAGGACTATAAGCCTTTTAACTAATGTTACTGTCTTATTTAAATTGATCAAATTGGTATTTCAGCACCATGATCTTGCATTTCTTGAAGTCGAGCTAACTAGACGTGGATTCGTTTGATGACTGCTACAGTAGCTGTGCTGGGAAAGTCTAACAGAAGGAATGAGATGGAAATGCAGTCCTGCTCGTTTGTGGTGGCGACAGAAATAAGAGTGAAGAGAGCAGAGCCTGAGTGTGGGGCTTCGTATCTCCTTCCCCTTCACAAGAGATTAGGGCGTTTACCAGCCCTTTGCCTTAAAAGGAGAAAAAGTAGATATATTTGGGAATTGGGAGTGAAGAAAGGGGTAAGATAGGAAATACAAACTAAAAATCAAAGCATATTTTGCAACTTATAGGTATAAACCCGATGTCAAGAAAGGAAAACAGACCTTTTCCCATTCAGAAAGGAGGTAGTTAGTCACCTTACCAGAGTTTAGCAAGCCCTTGTGATATGTTCCCAGAGAGTCCAGGAACATACTCAGATTTTTAAATGATTACAACAAATTTTGAGGGTGTTTCTTTGAATATTTTATTATGAAAATATAACTTGTCTTTAAACAAAACTAAAAGTTGCCCTGAATAGGGGAGTGTAAGCACAGTAAGGATTATAACAATTTTAGGAGAGTGATCTGCATTTATCCAATTCTCAGAGATAATTTAAAAAGAAATCTTATTGGCCATTAGTGCTGTAGTATTTCTGAATTTTTAAAAATGTATTGCTCCAGGTACTCTGCCTAAAAAACTTGGTAGTGTTTCCTCCCTAAAGCAGTGCTGCCTGCTGCAGATGGCGCATTTCCTACCACTGAAAGCACACCTGAGCGTGCTCACACGGCAGCAAGGTACATAGTGTCATCCGCGGTTTGTTTAAGGGAGAATACCGGAACTTTGGGGCAGGACTGCCTCAGGGTCAGATCCGAGCCCTGCTTGTTCGCCTGCGTGTGATGCTGGAAGCATTGAGCAATCCCTGATGCTCCTTATTTGTGAAGTGGGTATTAGAAGCATGCTTCCGTAGGTTTCCTGCGAAGGCTGCATGAAATGGTGAGCACTGAGCACGGCCTTCAGTACAGGCAGGTGATGAGTATACTTCTTGTCTATTTTCTTCACCCACAAACACCATTCATACCAGGTTTTGGAATTCTCAGTGACCAGATGTGAGAGCTGGCAGCAGGCTGCCACATCCCACCATGGATGCCCCTTTCCTGATTCGTGCCCTCACTGCTTCTCTCCTTGTGCCCTTTTGTAACAGAGTTGTTACAGTACTGCTCTGAGCTCTTTGTTGTCACAAATGTTGTGTTTGTCTCCTAATGCCCAGCATTTGGGGTATAGCTTAGCACAAACCAGTGCTCTAGGTCCATTTGCTCAAGTCATGGTGACTGAGATCCCCCCAAATGTCTGCTAGGGTCCTCTGGTGAGTGTCCCCTAAATCCCTCAGAGCCAGCAGGAAGGGACCTTGCTGTCTCTGGGTCTTTTCCTTGCTCCTCTGACATGTTAGTGGGGAGCCACCCACAGTGCTTCTCTGACTGGGCTCCTCATTCCAGCCCACTCTTGTCTGGAGACCCCTGCTGACTTCGTGTCTTATGTGACTTGAGTAAGGTCTCTGACTTCTTGGTGCTGTTTCCTTTCCTGCCCCCCAGAAGCCTTTGCTCCTCAGTGGTGTCTGACCCAGAACATTCAATCAGTTCTGTTTTTATAATGACAGTGCCTACCCTTTTCTTTGCCAAACTCCTCTGCTCCTCACTTAAAGTGTGTCTGCCTCAAGGCATGGATCACATTTGTTCCTATAGAGTAGGGTTGGGACATGGGTGTAGAGATGGGGATATACTGTTTTCTTTTTCCGTATTTTTTCATTACCATTTATTTCCCTTAAACCCCCCTCCTCCCTGCAATTACCACACTGTCGTCCATGTCCATGAGTACTTTTTGCTTTTTGTTTATTTCTTAATCCTTTACCCCCTAACCTCCCCCCATGATTGTCATCTTGCTCTCATTTATGAGTCTGTCTCTATTTTGCTTGTTAGTTCAGTTTGTTCATTAGATTCCACATATGAGTGAAAGCATATGATACTTGTCTTTCTCTGACTGGCTTATTTCACTTAGCATGTCCTCCAGGTCCATCCATACTGTCACAAAGGACAAAATTTTCTTCTATTTTATGGCCAAGTAGTATTTCATTGGATATTTCAAATGTCCCATAGTTGTTTTATCCACTCATCTATTGATGGACATGGGGGCTGCTTCCATACTGTGGTGATTGTAAATAATGCTGCAGCGAACAAGGGGTGCTTCTCTTCTTTTGAATTAGTGTTTTGGGTTCCTTCAGATATATTCCCAAAGGTGGAATAGCTGGGTCAAAATGCAGATCCATTTTTAATTTCTTGAGGTATCTCCATACTGTTTTCCACAGTGGCTGCACCAATCTGCCTTCTCACCAGTGGGGAAAAAAGTCTTCCCCTTTCTCCACATCTTCACCAGTATTTATTTGTTGATTTATTGATGATAGTCAGTCTGACTGGTGTGAGGTGATATTTCATTATGACTTTAATTTTCATTTATCTGATGACTAGTGACATTGAGCATCTTTTCATATGTCTATTTGCCATCTGAGGAATATACTCTTTTCAATTCTGGGAGATTTTTCTCATCTTTATTTTGGTCTTAGGCATAAAACTCAGAAATTCTTAGCAAGCACTGTGGGTTATATTTCATGAATCTCTCGTCTTTCTGTGCCATCTGGCAGATCTGCTTCCCTTCCACCTTAGCTTCGGCCCAGCATTTGGCCTTCCCGAGGGCCTTGCCCTGGTCGGCATGCTTAGGCATGGCCAGGGCCCTACCCACACTGTTCGACGTGAAGCAGCTGAATGAAAATTTGAAAGGTGCAGCCTTGCTGTACTATTGTTAATCTGCATGATGACAAACTCCATATTTTTGTAATATCTTAAAAACAAGTATTTTTTCTTTATTTTAAAAAGTGCATTTTTGATATTATATAATCAAATTTGAGACTTTATTTTTCAAAGAATATAGGAATTCATGGTTCAACTTTTTCTTCTTCAAAATAATGTTGAGTGGAATTTTATCCTGAAGTTTTAGTCTACTTCTTTACTTCGAAAACTGAAAGCTTATGTTAACTCATTATATAAATTGTTAAGACCATTAAGAGTTCCATAACAAGTATTTGGGCCGTGAGAAGAGAACAGACTTTCAGAGCTGGAGGGGAGGTCAAGGTTAATTGTGTTTCAGACCCTCATTTCACAGATGCCAGAGGATTAAGCAGTCCATCCAATGTCAGACAGCTGGAAAGAGGCAGGTCTGCAGTCCTAACATTCTATGTTTTTTCTATGTAGCCTAAAAAACCCCCCAAACTATTATTTTATTGGGCAATCACAAAATATAATAGCTCCAGGAAAGAATGTATCATAACAAATGGGAAGGGATTTTAATGTGCTTTTTTTTAGGATTTGTGATGTGCCAGGCACTGTATATAACTTGTTTCATTTGGTCCCCATGGAAGTTTTATTGTATTTCCATTTTATAAGTGGGAATCTGAAACTCACAGGAGTTAGGTAAAGCCAGTAAGTGCCTGGCTGGGACTTGACCCTGAGTCTTTCTCCCTCCAAAGTCTTGGCTCTAGAGCTCAGCCTCCTGCTCTTTTTTAAAGTGGGCTTACACGCATCCAAATAACAGTAAATGTGCCTCATTATACTTTTAAGAATACTTGAGCACTTATTATTTTTATAGAAAGGACTAACAGTTTCTCAGTCTCATATCTGCATAACAATCAATTTTGGTAGTTGGAGGTATACTGTCAACTCTCTTGAGCATTGTGTAGAAAAGTGTCCACAGCTGGTGCTAGAAAATCTGGTGGGTTTACATCCTGGTGCTGTTACCATTGCCCTCTTTGTATTTAGAGATGTAAATACACATCAGGCCCCAGTGGGGGGGGATATTCTCTCCACCAAAACTTTCTCTTACCTCCTCCTCTGGGCCAGACACTCCGCTGGCCATCAGCAAGGACCTGGCAGTGTAGATTTCTCTCTACCATGGGGCTTAGAGCATTGGTTTTGCAGTCACATGCTTAATTCTAATTCTGGCCCTTCCATTTAGAAACAGTGGGGTCTTGGATTAGATATTTGATCTCTTTGTACCTTGGTTTTCTTACCTGTGAAATAGGAATAAATACCAACCTCACAGGAATGTTGTAAGGATTAAATGAGAATACATGTATGAAGACTGGTGTTCATTAGGCACTCAGTAAAGGTTAACACAATATATACAGTAAAGTATTAAGCAAATATGAGGAAGTTTTACATAACAGTTATTATGTTACAGTCAAGTAAACTAAACATTATTATAATACCAGAAAATGTCGGTTACACTTCTTATTGTAAACCATTATTCCTTTTGATCCATCAGAGGCTAGCAGAAATAGTAGATGAGGAAGAAGATGGAGAGAAAGAAAGCAAGGATGCAGAAAAGAAAGAAGAATCTTCAGGAATGAATGGTGAAGTTGAAGCGGAAGGAGGTGAAGAGGCTACAGCTGCCTCTGAGCAGGCTGAGGAGATGCCGGGGCACCAGGATGAGCAGGGAGGTCCTGTGCGTGTCAGTGGAGGCACCAATGAAGAAAATGGTGAGGAACTGGATCAGGTCAATAATGAGCTTCAAGAGGCAGTGGAGAAGGAAATAAAGTCTCAAGGAGCACCTGACAATGAACAAGAGGAGGTATTTCTATTGCTTTTGCTCACTTGTGTGTATGCATTAATGTGTGTGTGCGCACTTAGGGAGTTATTCTAGCACTTAGGACTTACACTGAAACCACTTGTTGAGTAGGGGATGGTCAGTGCCATTTACTTGACGATATTATTTTAGTAAGTTAAGAAGTACTCTCAACCACCAATCTGGCAGTTTATATGTCCACCCTTGTCATCCATCCATTCATCCATCCATCCATCCATCCATCCATCCATCCATCCATCCCATCCATTTCCTACCTTATTCCACAAAAAAATGTACGGAGCTTCCTAAGAACATATACAACAAAAGAAAGACATGTAAGTAAGAAGTACAATTGAGTTAAGACCAGGGGAGTTATAAACAAGCAGACTGTCAAGACCAGTGAGACACTGACACTATTTAAAGAACATTGTCTCTGTTATGGGTGACTTCTTTACTCTCTAGAAATATTACACTTCAGTTTGTTTAGTCCACTTTAAATGGGTTAATTGAATTAAGTGCAAAATATTCCAAGCACTTAATAATGTACAGTACTGTTCATTACACAACAAAGGGAAGAAATACATGTTGGAGACCCCTGCCCAGCCTGCTTTCCCACCACTGCCCCAGAGCAGGATATTCTCAAGTCCTGACATTCCTCCATGGGACTGACAAAGTTCGACATGATGGGTTAAGTTAGATGCCAGTGATGAACAGACCGAAGTTGAGTCTTTCAGTGTAAGAGGCCAGTGCGCCCCACAGCATTCTCACAGTCTGCTTGTGCCCTTCCTTCCTGTCTGTCCAGCAGCTCAGGGCCCTCCTCCCTCACGTGGGCCTTGGTCTCTTCATCCCCGACAACCTCGTGTGGTGAATGAGGTCTTCTTGATTGTTGTTTAGTGATTCATCTGTTTTATCTTTTTTAGGGAGGCCAAGTTTAGTAATGGTAAAATGCAAAATGTTTTCTTGGCCAGATTTGAATAACCAGTACTAAGTTATCTGTAATCTACTGTATGGTTTATACAAAAACACTCTTAACATCTAAATCAAAACACTCAATCTGCCTCATCTTTTCTGAGCATGAGGTAATCACAGTCCAGTTCTGTGAGAAATTTCCCATATACAGTTCTACATGGTTATTAAAATTTAGCTAATTCTGAAGTTGTTTGTAGCTACATTAAAAAAGGAATTCAGTCAATTACATGACTTCCTTTATCTCCATAAGGAAACAAAATTAATTTCCCAAGGAAGTCAAAAGAAAAAATGTTCCTCAAGGGAAGCAAAATTTCTCGTGTGAGGGTTCTTGTAGGAAGCACACTGATGTAGTGCGTCTGCAGGGTCCTAAGCTCTTTGTCATTGTGGTGGCCTTTGAGGAACGTTTACAGCATGAAATCAAAGTGTAAATTCTGTGTGGGACAGATGGTAAAATCCAATTATGGACCTTGTTCCAGTGGTTCAGCTTCCTTTAACGTTATAACCCAAATGTTTTTTAATAGAAGTAAATAGATTGCATGCCCTTCCATTCCATAAATTTAACTTTTAAAAACAGGCCTTTCCTAGGAATTGGGTAGCAGTCAAGATCAAGGTTATATCATTTGAAGTACAGGTGTTAATGGTATGTATTGAGGGCAAATCTAAATTCTTGGGAATCAAATGAACAAGTGCCTAATATGTGATTAATTAGGGGTTTTTAAGACTATACAACTGCCTAAGACAGAGCAGTTACCCACAAGAGATTCAACCTTATTGGCCTCATCTCTCTTATAATGGTATTGTATTTGTTTTCATTTTATTTGTATTAGTATAGGTGCACTTTAAGCATACCGATTATATGAAAAACCAGATTTATATGAATTATTAATTATACATTAATAATTAACTTTTTCAAAAGAATTCTTTACTTATAAAATGACTAAAAATTTAGTGTACCATGTAACACTTCATTCCATGTAACAGTTCCTTGGGACAGTGTGACATGATTATAGGAAAACAGCAGGAAGCACATGACAAATACAGAATAACCACCTGCCGTTTACTGAGCTTGTATGGTGGTCAAGATGCTTGAGACACTTCAAAAGAGAACAATGTGAAGAGATAGTTCCAGCAACCTTTCTGTTTTTGAGCCTGCAGCCTGCAGGGAAAGGGACCTGGAGCTCACCCTGTTCTCCCCACACTGCTAGTGCTGTGGGGGCTGCGGCGCCCCCAGGACTCCATGGAGCAGAGCCTGAGAAGCACCTAATTCTAACCTCACCCCCTTGGTTTTCAGTCTAGTGGGGAAAGACAAATTAATTATACATGAGACGATGTTATTAATACATATGAGGCGTCCAAGTGGCAGGGACAAAGGCCGCTGCTGGAGAAATGCTGCCTCTGTGTTTTCATATCCTGTTCTGCTCTCATCTGCTTGATACTTTGTGCTGCTTGGTGCCATAGTCACAAAGAATTGGAGAATTCTAGTAGAAAAGTAACAGAAGAATAGCTAGCATGGGACTGGATTAATGTGACACAAGGGTAGAATTGCTGCATTTTTCTCTGAAAATGCTAAAATGAAAAATATAAACATGCTGTTGAAAAGAAAAGCTCAAAAATAAAGAAAAACATCAAGAGAAAGAAAATGTCCTTAAAAAGAGCACAAGAAATAAGTCTGTGCCTTTAAAGCACAGAGTGGATTCTGGCTCCACAAAGGGCTTCTGCGCAGTGGTGGGGAGACTGGTGTGTCCACTGGGTGATGATTCAGTTAAAAACACAGCTACCCAATTTCTGTTCTTAACTGAGTACTTATATGGTTAAATGGAATACTGAGCATTTTTTTCCTTGTAAGTTTTATTACCTTTGCAACTAAATCACTAAATATCTTTGTTTTGATCTGTTTTGCTCTAGGCTGACTCAGACCCTCAAAGACCACCAAGGCCAGAAGTAAAGATCACTGGTCCACAGGAAAATGATGACAATGAACAAAGCAAGGACTATGCTGTTGTAGCATAAATGACTTTTAAAAAGAGAGTGTGGTCATAAGAAAAATGAAGGGTTATAATACTTGAATAACACATATAGTTATTGCTAAACATAACACAAGAGTGGGGTTAAAAATTACTTACTGGATTGTAAAATTAGAGACCTAATGGAAAGATTAGGTAAATTTGAATAGCTACTGAAGGAGAGTGGCTTCTTATGGGATGTGTTCTTCCAAGTCACTTTAAGTAAAGTAAGAGAAGAGGGGTAGAGGAGAATCTGACCAGGAGGCAGTTGGGATCTGGTTTCTGTGAAGAGTGAAGAAATGGGATCACTCCTGTTGCCTAGTTTCTTACATAGTTAGAAGTGAAGTTCTTAGATGGCAGCATATGCTAAAGCACTTACCTGAGAAGGCATAGTTTTAAATGATAATGGGAAAGCATGTATTATTTTTAAGCAATAACTCTTGAATAAACAAATTATAATTTAGTTTCAGAGAAAATTTGAAGATGGCAATAGATTGAAATGTTTCCATGACTTGTTGACATCCTGTTCTTTCTTCCTCCTTAACCAGAATCCGCCTAAAAAGAATTAAAAAGAATGTGAGGGATTCATTTTGGAAGGAGGAAGTATTCATTTAGTGTATTAGTGATTGATATTGTCATGTTCCTTCCTTAAGTGCTTCAGGTTTAGTCCTTGTGGCTTTCAGGATGGAATTATAAAGAAACATCCAATTATATTACTGAGGCTGGCTGGATGGTTTGCAAATTCCTAGTATCCTATGGATTTTCACTGGCCCAGTCTATCTTTACCAGTAATATACCTCTCTACTTCCTCATGGTAGGAAACTCAATATTGGCTGTTCCAAAGACTGAATTTTGCAAAAGGAAAATGTAGGCTTATGATGAGTTTCTCATGCTCAATTTCACTTGCTTTTTGCCTTATTTCTGTTAGCAGACTGTCTTGTTACATTTTGTCCCTAAGGATATCAGCAAATACTTATTTTCAAGCCAGTTACAGCTAGACTTTCTAGCAGATTCCTTTCCATATAATTAGAAATTATCTGATAGAAATTATAGAAAAAAGTTTAAAATTGCTATAATGAAACTAGTTCCAAATTACTAGTTTGTGGGATTAGTAACTCACAATTGCCTTGTTAGATATATATGGGGAAAAACATAAATAATATTTTTGTTATATAGAAATGATCATTTGAAATTTAAGCTGCTAGTGTTTTCATAGAATTCATTATTAACTATAAGTTTAAAAATTTCCCCTCCAGGTTTTATAACCAACTGCTTGGAATCAGAGTAGTTATATAAAATACTTAATAATGCTATAGAAAATGGATATATTTTTCTTAGCAGCTACTTCAATATTTTCCACAAATAGGAAGTGTAAGTGGAGGCTATAATGTAACAGTATTAGAAAGAGATAATGATATGAGTATATTAATCTGGGAGGTTGAATTATAGATGAGGCACTATATTTCTAGCTTAAAATCTAGATCGTGCTGTCTACTAGTACGCTTATTGTCAAATGGGACGATAAAATCACCATAGATGCCAAGCGACAGTCTTGTGTTGCTAGGGAAGTAGATTACCTGGTTTTTCAATGTTAAATTCCCATACTGGGCCTGGGTTAATGATTTTAAATCATCTATAAAAATAAGGGATTAAATATAAGAAATTATATAACTAATTATCAAGGCAATTTTTTCCTTCTCTTTAATGAGATTTTCCTCTGTTTTCCTTTCAATAAAGATATTGTCTTGTTTTTCCCCTTTCCTTCATTATCCTATAAAGCTTAGGTTTTCAGGAGCTTTTAAAAATCATATTAAAGGAGAACTATGTTGTTTTACATTAAAAAAAAAGTTTTGTAATTTTTTTGCAAAGTTTTGTATTTCACATATGTTTCAAGAAAATGATAGGCCACAACTGTGTTCTAACTTGAGGGAACGAACAACTAGTAATCACTTTAAAAAAAGAGAATAAAATATGTTGTCTAACCAATGAAAACTATGGACATCACTTTGGGGATGACTTTAACATGAATAATGAAAGTTAACGTACCTCACAGGTGTGGATGTTTTCTCCGTGGGAGTGGCAGCTGCTGGGGCAGAGGAGCTCCACACATGGAGACTCCCTGCAGGTTGGAGGCCGTTGCGTGTGGAGCAGTGGGGGTCTCCTTGAGGCTTCAGTCCGGGGTTGGGTTTTACAGAGCGAGGATGCTATGAAAACTCATGTAGCTTTTATGTGATAACCAGTAGAATGCTTTAAGGTGTTAGCTTTCATGATAGATTTCCTAGTTTTAATTCTATGGAACTCTTGTTAATCTTAATTGGTTTTATGACATTTGTAAACAAGTGGTTTATCAGTTGAATTAAAACATCAGAGTTTTGCAGATCAAATGAAGGAGATTTTGATTAAAGTCACTTTCATGCTAAGGATATTTTACCATCTGTTAAGGTAACTATAGAGAATTCATAGGCTTCTCGTTATAAAACATGACACTATGATCATAAGATAACTTTTTGTTCATTTTTTTTCCTGTGGCCACAAGGTGACTATTTATTAAAACATTTTTGGTTATGTTTTTTGGGGACTATTAGAATGCCAGACTCACAGGAAGATTATGGTAGTCCATGCATTCCGTTCCGTTCTGAGTGGTACTTCCCGCTGTCGTCTGTGAAGACAGAACTGGCCGGTGCCTGTGCGTGTGGCCCAGCGTCAGCCCGCACCTCTGTAGGCCTGCAGTTGCGAAGACATGCTAATGTGAAATTATTCACACTAGCTCTTCCAACTTATAGCTAATAAATCAACATGCTAAGAATTTCACTAAATAACCCATCTTCTTCACAAAAGATGAAGTTAATTCAGCAAGGAAACATTTATGTATTTAAAATTGTGGCTGCAGAACAACAGGAGGGCATCTTTGTCTTGTTAACAGACTTTCCTACAGAATTATTTCTATACTTTCATTTTTTTTGCTGAGTACATAGCAGAAACAAAATTTCAGAAAGTAGATTAATTGCTAAACAGAAAGCATCACATCTGAACTGGTGCCAATCAGAATAGAAATAGACTATAGGCATACACACATATACATAGCAAATACTTACACAGATGCACTCACACACTTTAAAATATTGAAAAGACCTCTTCGTTATTAATGGAATAAGACTGTTTTGAGAGAAGCAATGCATTAAAAACATGGAGAGGAGATGCTAAAAAATGATGGATATCATGGTGCTTTAAGACTTGGTTCCCAAAGACTTTAAAAGATTTAAATTTCTCCTCAAAATAAGAAAGCCACCAGCATTTCAGTGAAAGATTTATTTTAGAGAGGGGTGAATATATAGAAATCTTATTTCCTGAAATAGTTACTGCGTGTAGTTTTTTACTTCTTTGTCACCAGTCTTAAGTACCATATACTTTTAAGTACAGGATATTTGGTACCAACACGGGCTAGGTGAGAAGGTTATTACTGCTTGTGAATGTGTGTGTGATTTACATGAATGTATAGAGTGCTCTTTGCTAACAAGCATCCAGATTCACTACAAATAGTATAAAACTAGTCCACTCATGTTGAAGTTTGGTGCAGCAGCTCCGTAACTTCCTTGTGTGAATGCAGTGCCCTAGACTGGACTCACTTTTTGAAAAGGTTAGGCTGTCATTCTAATGTGATGAGCACATAAAGTTCTGGTTATTGAATATCATGCGTGTAAATACTGTAAGATTTTTGCTTCTCAGAAAACCTTCTGGTGTATAGAAGGGTCTGATTTTTGCTCTCACCACATGCAATTAGGATATTTCCTGCCATGAAGTCCAAGTGACTTGGATGAAGAATCAAAGTGTGTCCCCACGAGCTGGTAAGGAAGAAAGATATTGTTTATGAAGAGGCATAGCATCCTGTAGGATATGGGGAATTAGGAAAGAATTTAAAAATATCTGGATAACCATAAAACATCTATCAAAACAGGAGATAACTATTGGAGCTAGCTCCATCAACTTAAGCCAAAACAATTTAGCCTAAATCCATGAATGGTACCAAATGAATTCTCTGTAGCTTCATCAGATTAAACCACCTAGTGTACCTGAGTGAGTTGTCACCAATGCACTGGCATCTGAGAAGATGAAATGACTGTAGTCAATTTTAGAAGATGTTTGGAGAAAATCAGTTCTGTGTTTTTGCTTCAATGCTCTCTTGTGCCTTAAATCTTTAATATGTACAGTGATAAGGGGTGGTTGTCATTGTTGTAAGTGAAGTTCAAAATTCCCTTAATGAAGATTGAGTTCATCCTTTTTATATGATTTGTGTTTAGAACTTCTCTTTGTAAGAAAAATTGCTTTGATCAAATTTTGAGCATTAGGCTTTTCTTTATCAGTGCTTACCCTGAATCATACAAGTCCACTGTATTTTATGAATAAATAGCTCTGTGTTTTTATAATTAAAATGTATCTGGATAGTTTATTGTTCGTTTATGATTTTGTGATGCTAACAGTTCATGTATTAATTCCTTGCATGACATTTTTCAAACACAGTAGAAACTTGGTTTGAATCATGTGGAAATGTAGCACATTAGACGATTCTTCTGTTTCTGCTTGGCATGGATGTTAAACTTCATTATAAAGAAAATATCTTTATATATGCATGTTGGCAAAAATTATAGGTATATATTTTTTAAATCATTTTTTTCTTTTATGAAATGGTATTAGGAAAACACAGGTGCAGAAATTTTGTTATGATAAAGATATATTCAAAAGCAAAGAATAAATTATGTGCATTACACATTTTGTAGTGATACAGCTATAGGAATAAATTCACAGTTTTACAAAAAGATTGGCTAAAATTATGCTTCCATTTGTGGGGTATGTACTACTTTCATTCAAAATGAATTCATTCTCTAAATACTTTAATTCGACATGTTTGTTTTTTCTTCATATTTAAGAAACAAAAGCCATTAAGCACAAGCATTTGGCCTTCTCGATGTGTAATAAGAAAGTAAGTGTGGTCAGGGGCTCTGGCCGGAGAGGAGCCAGCACTGCAGGTCTGCGCAGTCGGCCCTTGCATCTCCGTTGTTCTGTGATAGTGAAAAGGCAAACCTGCACAGCAAGGGATGCATCTGGGTCATCAGTGTCAAACCCCTTTAGACTATGTGGCTAATCAATATTAGAAACCTTTCACAATCAACAATGGTAATTTCCCCAAGGCATTGTAAAATGGTTAGCATGCATTGGTTATAAAATTCTTGTTTATGAAAATAAAAATACAGTTCTCCTGCAGGTTTCCAAGTGTTTTTTCTTCCCCTAATGGGACCTTAATCTATTAAAAACATTGCGTAGGTCTCTCAAATGCTAACACAAACTTATCTTCCATTAAAGAGAAAAATGATACAGGGGTGGCCTGCACTTCAAATGCATTGTCTGGTAATAACAAGATGGTTTAAAACTGCAAACCAAAAACAAAACAAAGCACCAATAGGAATCTCCCCTCAGTTGCATCATATCTCTTCTCCTTGGCTACAAATCCTCTCCCATCGTCATGAGCAATCTCAAACAGCCAGTCTCTCAACACCTACCTGTGTGCTCTTGACTCCCAAATCTCTCTCTCTGGGCCTGACAGCGTCTCCTCGGGAACTGCAGACCTGGTGTACAACTATCGGCTGGGTACCCCTCAGTCACCTCAAGTTAAAATATTTTAATTTTTGACAATACGTTTCTATTCTTACATTGCCTATCCTGGTTAATGATGCATCTTAGTGCCCTACTAGAAACATGGGAGTCATCTTAAATTATTGCCATTCTCTGTACGTCAACTCAGTCGTCAAGTTTTATAGCATTTGCTTATCTAATGCTTAGAAATGTGAGTTCGCTGTGTATTAATAGGTATTTTCCTGATACTGTTTATTGGTCATGAGGGTTCCTCTTTATTGATTTACATGCTTATCTCATTTTTTTCTACTAGGTTTTGGGCTCTATGTTACTACTTTGAAGGGCTTCTTTGTATATCCTTATAACCTCAGCTGGTATGTGCTTGATAAATATCTATGCTAGTTTATGGTTTACTGTGTTTGCTTTTCTAAATATGATAGTAGCCTAGAGATGTTTTTTATATCAATGTAGTCAAATATGTTAATCCTTGTTATAGTTGTGGTTTTTTTGTGGTTTACTTAAACATTTTGTCTGAACCTTTATATCAGTTATATTCTGTAATACTTTGTAATGTTTTTAAAGTTTTATTTTCCACATTGAGGATTTTATCAGGCATGTACTTTTATGTGCAGTGGAGTCAGTCACCTATTTTCTCCTTCATATGGATAACAAAGTATCTTAGCACCATTTATAGAGCATGCTGTCCTTCCCCCATGGATGTACAGTCAGAACGATATCACGCACTCATGTGTTTGAGGGAAAATCTTGGCTCAGGATTGGAGGAGATTCCTATTATGGACTGAATTGCATTTCCCTAAATATGTATGCTAAAGCACCAACCTCCAATGTAACTGTATTTGGAGACAGGACCTTTATGGAGGCAAGTACGGTCCAATGAGGTCAGAACTAGGGTAAGACCCTAGTTCTGTTGGACTGGTGTCCTTATAGGAACAGGAAGGGACACCCAAGCTCACTCTTTTTTCCCAGATTATCTATTTATTTATGTATAGCCTCATCCAAGGACATGCTTACTGATTTTTTTGTTCGTTTAGGAGAGAGATGGGAAGAGAGGGAGAGGAACACCAGTGTGAGAGAGAAACATTAGTTGCCTTTTGCATGCAGCCTGACTGGGACCAAACCTGCAACTCAGGCATGTGCCCTGGCCAGGACTGAACCCACAACCTTTTGGTTTACAGGATGACACTCCAACCCACTTGAGCCACACTGGCCTTGGCAGAGCTCGTTCTTGATCTGTGCACACACAGAGGGAAGGCCTGGTGAGGGTACAACCAGAAGGCATCCATCTGCAAGGCAGAAAGAGAGGACTTGTCAGA